ATCCAGATATAATTACTGTTACTATCGCTATAATTACTATGTTTTACTATAATGATAATGATAAATTTTAACAAAATGTCAAACCAGATATATTTGAAGTATTAACTCTACACATGATAAATTTTTTTATATTTACGTTCTAACCTAATTTAAAGTCAATTCAAAAAAACTTTGTTTAACATGGTAATTATTACAATCCAAAATTAGTCTATTTATTGTTAAACCAAAATAATTTAAAATATCGATATCATATAAAGGGCTACATTATTTTGTAGATTTGGAATGTTATTCAGGCAAATTATTACCAAAATTAAATTGTAAACACGTTTCACTAACAGGTACCCAGTTTAGAATCGTTGAAGTAGAGGACTCGGAAAATTATAAGGTAAATTGGGGTATAAACGGCACATTACTAGACATGTGATGTATAGTGACGCAGATCGCCGAAAGACAAATAAATTTTTAGAATCATATATAACGTAAAGACACTTCATTCATCATAAAACAATGTACTCTGTTCCTGGTATAAGCAAAAACAAGACATAGCTTGACATTGTTATATTTTATTAAATCCAATTTAAACAAATTAACTTTTTTTTTTATATAGAAATCATGCGCTGTATAGGAAGTCAAAACCTGTAAGATCAGGAATAAAACAATTAGAAAACAAGACATGACTTTGAACCAGAAATGCATGTACACACACAAATAAGATATCTACATAGGTTTGTATAAGCTATATTAAACTGGCTGCACTTTATTCATAATATATTAAGCAAATCTCGCATCCTTTTTAGCATTGTTCAGAGTGCTACACAAAGTACAAAGATTGATTATCCAATCAGGTCCAAGATTTTGCACATGGACATCTAAATCACATATAAACCACTAGGATAAAGTAAACTATTATAACAGCAAGCACTATTTCGCGCAACTCCAAATTATACGAAAATAAAATAAGATAGATCAATGAAAACGAAAGGTATAAAATAGTAAAAAGGCTGCATGACAAAATAAATAATACAGATGGATCTTGTGTAAAGCAGATAATAACCTAACAATCAAAAAGCTATGATAATAAATACATTACGTTGTACATTGTACAAACTCCATATTACTGTGCAAAATTTATTAAAAGCTTTTTATTAAAAATTATAATGTGGTTTGAAAATCAGGTGTAATGTAATATATAACAGAATTTTTTTTATATAAATTCTAAATTCAATATGCTAGGTTATGCAAATTATGTGAAATCTAAAATTTGGTCAGTCAGTCAGATTTTTTATTTTTTTTTTCTGGTAGTCATATCAGATAATTATAGAATTAAGGTCTTCATCAGATAACATTGAATAAACAAAAGAAAAAAGGAAAAAATGTGTCACAATTATTTCCCTAATATTGAATTTCTTAACAACTACTTCCTCGACATATTCATTTTCCAACATTTATTTTTCTAATATATTTATTTTCCTAGCACAGTGTTGAGGAAATGAGTATGTTGAGGATATAGTTGTTAGGTGAAACTGTTTTTCACAAATAGTAAAACATGAAACCTAAATCCGGTGAAACTAAGATGAATGGTGAAACCCTTGGCAAATAGTGAAACTCTCAAAGAAAGATGAAGTTTAAGCTCTTAGCAAGTTTAATTCTCTAAGGCTTTGGAAAGACTGAGCCATGTTAGAGAATAAAATATTGTATGTATTTATTAAGCATTGCATATGTACATATTATTCATATAAAATATATATACAATGAATCATATGCATGCATGCAATACATAATAGATACAATATTTTATTCTCCAACATAACTCAGTCTTTTCCAAAGCCTTAGAGAATTAAACTTGCTGAGAGCTTGAACTTTGTCTTTTGCCATTTTTCAGAGGTTTTGCTATTCACCAAGAGTTTCACCATTCACTAAGGGTTTTGCCATTTGCCAAGGGTTTTGCTATTTATTTTAGTTTAGCCAGTTTCATGTTTTGCCATTTGTGAAAAACAGTTTCACCTAACAACTATATGTCAGATGACAGTCACAGAAATTGGTTGTTTTTTTGTTTTCAATAGGATCAGTTTTGGCCTGTTGAACAACAGTTAAATCTAGTGTAAGTGGCCTATCGAGATGATAGTTACAAAAAAATTTGCATTCAGATTAACATTGCATACAGTAAACTTTATTGACATGTTTATTTATACTTATATGCTTTTTATTAATATTTTTACTTGCACTTTTGCACTTATTTGCACTTTAATAATACTCTTAAATTTTGTGTTGATCTAAGAGGTTTGCACAAAGCAGCAGAGACAAAATACCTATAATTGTATTTCATTATATTTATTACTAAACACCACCTTAATAAGAGACAAAATGCCTTTTTTTAGTTTTTGTCAGTTTCGTCACCTTCTATTAGTTTCATTATCTTTCATCAGTTTTGCCATTTTGTCTTTTTAAATTTTTTTTGCTAAAAGTTGAAACCAGGTTTTGCCATTCACCAAAGGTTTTAACATTCACTAGGGGTTTCATCATTTACTAAGAGTTTTATCATTTGTCTTAGTTTTACCTAACAACTATATGTCAAACAATAGTTACAAAAATTGGTTGTTTTTTTTGTTCTCAATGGGATCAGTTTTGGCCTGTCAGATGATAGTCAAATCTAGTGTAAATGGCCTATCAGATGATAGTTATGAAAAAATTTACATTCAGATTAACATTGCACATAGTAAACTTTATTAACACATTTATTTACTTACTTGCACTTTTGTGCTTATTTGCACTTTAATAACACTCTTGAATTCTGCATTGATCTAGAAGATTTGCACAAAGCAGCAGAGACAGAATACTCATAATTGTATTTTATTGTATTTATTGCTAAACACCTTCTCGATAAGAGACACAATGTCTTTTTCTAGCTTTCATTAGTTTTATCACCTTTTGTTAGTTTTATTACCTTTTGCCAGTTTTGCCATTTCATCATTTTAAATTTTTTTTGGTGAAAGTCAAAACCAGGTTTCATTAGCAAAACCTCTATGTTTTGCCTAACAACTATAGTTAAGGAAATAAGTATTGGAAAATAAATATATTAGAAAGTAATTGTTAGAGAAGTGGTTATGTTAGAGAAGTAATCATTAAGGAAATAGTTGTCAAGAAATTCAATATAACTAAGACCTAATGAAAAATTAACTTTGTTTATAGTAAAAATCTGAAATTACAATAATTCTAATACAAACCAATATCTTTATAGTCGTATTTTTGTCACAGTATCTTCTTTGCTGTATCTTTTTTGCTATATCTTTTTTGCTATATCTTCTTTACTGTATCTTCTTTACTGTATCTTCTTCACTGTATCTTTTTTGCCATATCTTCTTCACCATATCTTCTTCACTTCTATCTTCTTTACTGTATTTTCTTCACTCCTATCTTCTTCACTCCTATCTTCTTCACTTCTATTTTCTTTACTTCTATCTTTTTCATTATATCTTCTTTGCTTATATCTGGTATATTTAAATTTATTATAATTAGAAATAATTATTTTAAATAAAATTTTTTAGAGTTTTGAGATTAATTTTATCAGCAATCTGTAGAATAACTAAGAGAGTACCTACTAGTTATTAATATAAATTTAGTCTGTTTTCCCTATAATTCCTAGGATTTTGACTTGTTGAAACTTGTTTAAAATAATCAAGTCTTAAAATAATATAAAAACTAGCAATTTTTATAATCTATATTCTATTAAATAGAATAGCTAAACTTCCTAGTTTCTTCTAGAAGCTGTTCTAATAATGAACTGAAGATATGGAATTTTTAAAAATTCTAGGCTTATTGCTATTTGCCTTTAGATTGATTACTATTGATTTTAAAAACATAACTTGCCTTTAGTTATTTGGGTCAGGAAATTAAATCCATTAAGCAGAACATTAAACTGTTAGATTAATTTTAAATATATATATTTAATTATAATCTGCTTTTAAATCTGGGTGTAAAGAATTATTAAATAGGCCTTAATAGGTTTTATTAGTATTTATTATTAATAGTTGAGTTCAATTCTCTTTTAAGGCAATTCTATATTTTTTTAAAATAATAAATCTACATATAAATATAATTATAATAATAAAATAAATATACTAAT